ACCTGTCATCTTCCTGACACTGTTCCCTCTGTCTTGTCAAATGACCATTGTCAATCGCCATGACTCTTGCATCTGTGCTTCTAATAGCAAAACTGGGGAAATCAGAGTGGGTAGCATCCAGGTCTCAGCACAGAGTGAAAAATTCAGGGAACTTTTTTTTTTTTTTTAAAGAAATGAATTTTGCCAGTAGAAAAGCAAAAGGTGATGTCATCTGCTGCAATATGACCAGAGTGGTCATGTAAAACCCCAAAGCCACAACAAAATATGACTCCAGTCTCTACCCTGAAGCACGTTTTAGTCTGTAACTATGAGTGTACTGCTCTTTTCAGTAACACAGGGAACATGATTCTCATCCTTCCTCTACTTTCCCAGTTGGACTGAGTGTCTCTATGCTTACACAAGCAAAGCTTAGCACATGGCCTTTCCCTGTCTGTACAGTCTAATTTCTATTTAGGAAACCAATTTGAATTTCTTATTTCCACATTTGGCTATACTAAATACATGTCTCTAAGTATGATCCCTTTTCAAAGCTTTCTTGGTCTCAACTCTATATACTCAGGACAGAGTCAAGACTAACAAAACTTAAACAGTTAATTTGGCATAGCAGCAGTATCATTTTGTATTAAGTTTTGGGACCACACATTATTCTGTGTAATTGACAAGTGCATTCTGAAAGGTGTTAGCTGTCATAAAGATGTGTCCCTGCTTCTCTCTGTGGACAAAATATTAAAGAAAGAGCTTTGAGATATTCTGTAGAGACCTTATGTTTATTTTAGTGGTTTAGAAATCCATCCATTACTTTCTTTCAGGATTTGATGCAGCAGGGTGTCCCAGGTGTTTGCTCTCTTCCAGGTTAGCATTTCAAATCACTGTGGAGGAGGATGGAAGTGCTGAGATGTTATGTATCTATCATATTTCTATTGATCTTTGGACAATTTTTATTCTAGAAGTGAGTCATAGCTTATGGTAGATCCTAAGAAAGAGCTTTTCCTTTTGATCTCAGACACTATTCTGAAAGTATACTTTTTCCAGTATACTCGGCAGACTGACTAGGCTAGTGCTGTGGAAAGATGCAATGCCATTCATTCCTCTATCCTCCTTAAGCTGTAGGGAGACCTTATGAAATAGGAGGTAAGTAGACATTATTAGGCAAGAACAAATAATGATAACCTATCTTTTCACTTGACTTAATAGAGCAATAAATCAGTCATACACAGATTCTACATGAAATCAGTCTTTCCTAAAACACGGCCACAAAGCTGGGAAGTCTGTGAAGTTTGTATGAAGTTTCTGGCAAAATTTTATGAGTAAATTCTGCTAACTACACTTAACTTGGGAATGTGACAGACTACTGACTATTTGTTAAGAATGAATCACTGTCAAATCTCACTGAAATTAACTACAAATGTGCAACTGTTAAGCCCTAAAGGTGGTCAAAGTATCAAGACCATGTCTTATTTCCAGTAGAATTTACAGATGCATTTTCCTGCATCTTACCATTCATGGTTGTTGAATGAATGTTGTAGGTGCTGGGAATTGTCATTCCATTTCCTGCAAGCAAAACCTATTTGATAAGGAACAGTTACTGGGGTCCAAATTTCAAAGCTTGTGTCTGAAACCTGAGAGGGTTTCAACAGACAAATGTTTAATGAGCAACATTGGTGAGAAACCAATGTAACCTGTCACTTTCCAGGCAAAGATCTCCATGTTTTCTTCCGTCTCAATATTGGAAATCACTTGGATATACTTCTTTTATCTGAAGTCTTTTCCTTTGTCCACAGACTTAAGTACAAGAAAAGGGTTGCGTAGGTAGCTCAGGCTAGAACACTAATACATTTTGAAGTACTTGGTTAAAATATTTACATTCCCAATCGCTTATGTGCTTCTAACAGTATGAGAGGCTTAACTGTGTCTGTGAACCATGGATGTCCAACCTCTCCCTAGTAAGGACACACAGGAAAAAGATTGGCAGATTCAATATCATGACTTTATATTTCCACAGAAACTGCTAGAGGGATACAGAAAGGATTACTTGAGAGAAGCATGTTGCATAGCAAAAGGGCTGATTAAAGCAACTTAAAGAAGAAAAGGTTTATTTTGGTCCCTAAGGTTTCACTAAGGTGTGGTGGGGCTGAATATCATGGCAGGGTGTATGCCACGGAGCAAAGTCGCTTACCTCATGGCCACCAGAGAGCAAAAGCAAAGTGACAACCAGGGGATAGGGACAAGATACACCCTTCCTGGGGCATGGTATCAGTCATGTATGTTTTCCAATGAGGAACTGATAGTTTCTCTGTCTCTGTCTTTCTCTGTATCCAGTCAACATAATATATCTGCCTCAATTTCTCCCCACCTTAATTCTGGAGAGAGTTTTTTTGAGAACCTAGAGCTTACCAATTCAGATAGAAAGGCTGACCAATGAACTTCAGGGATTCAAACAGACCTTCATGCCTGCACGGCAGGTATTTAAAATGGCTGAGTCATCTTTCCAGATCCTCAATTCTTAGTTTCTACCATCTCTCAATGACATCATCAAATTATGAATCTATTACTAAATTATAAGGTTTAGAACCTTCATCATGACTCATTTCCTCAAACTCCATCTGTATGCTACCAAGTCTATAGCACACACACACACATTTTGGAGACATTTCAGTTCAAAGTATTCCAGAGCTCTACCAAGGTACCTCTCCAGAAGGACATTGTTGGGAAGGACATGACCACACATGAGTCTACTAAGGGAGGATTTCAAAACTATAAAGTGAGTCTTTGAACATGAATATTCAGAAAAACAGTTAAGCCGCTGATGCAGTCTTCCGATAAACTGGCTACAGTAGTACACAAACAAAGCAAACACGATATGTTTTATCTATTGATATAGAAAAAGAGGACTCCATTTTTTCTTTTATTGACTGTTAGAGCCTACATGGTCCACTGAACTTTCTGGATAGCTGTATTCACTGTAAGTCTGATGAAGCTCTAGGAGGAGAAACGAATCCTTGTGAAGCACATCAGAATCACACACAATGGTAATACAGCAATAATTGCCAGGTAAACAAATCCTGCTTGAGTTTATGAAATTTTAAATTTCTGGTCAGGTGTCCGTGCTACACTTGTTTATACCAACACTTGTGAGGGGAGGCAGAGCACAGGCGGTGATATATGGGTTATGTGGGGCTTTCATGAGCTTGTCAATGTGTTTCTTCTTAGCTACCCTGACTTAGGATTCCCTGTCTCTTTCACACGTTCCTGTTTGCCTTTCCGCTTTCCACCCAGGAGATGAAATAACATTTGCTATAGGAGAGGACTGTCTCTGCTTCCCAGCCATCATGAGATGAGCCACTGCACCACCCTGGGCTGCTCATCAGAGTCTCTATGACAATCCTAGAGCAAGGAGGCCAAGGGACTGTGGACTGAAACCTTCATGGTCCGAGCTAAAATAAATTCTTGCTCCATTTTAGCTGTTTTTCATAGATATTTGTCAGAAATCAACTAATACAAATTATGACAAGCTATTTCCCCATTTTGTTTACCTGGACTATGTGACATACAGTTTAGGGAACAAAAATATAACATGCTACAGCCTGGATGTAAATCATGCTTTCAGTGAGACTTTTGTGGCATACTCATATTGAGTCACAGATAGGTTATTTAGTTGGGAATAGAGGCGTGAAAATTTGGAAGATAAAATGATGTGCAATCAATAAATGTTACAATTATAAAACCTTTATTTCACTCTTACTTTCATTAAATCTTTATAAGCACCATGTCATAGACAGGCAATGTAGGAAGAGGACACCACCGGAATGCTTCAGTTAATAACAAACTGCAAGCCGATGAGGATGTGGAATTACAGCTCCGTGGAGCATGTGAAGGAGACCACACTTAGAAAGACTCACTGGGGAATCTCATAAAAGCAGGCAACGGGAACTGGGCATCGATCTGTTCGCGCTGTCTATTGTAGAAACCCAAAGCTTGTGCTTGGAACCATCAAAAAGAACACTGTGTTACCTTGACAGCTTATACTTTGCTAAAACTTGACCCACAAGCAGCAATGTTGTCAGCCAGTGTTCCTCAACAGTGCCAGGTCACAGGCAGAGAACAATTCTTTTAAAGTTTAAACAAAGCTTAAAGGTGATATTTAACATTGGGCAAGCAAGCTACCTGCAATGTCTTCCGGTGTGCAGATTTCTCCTATGCAATGATCAAGCCATCATTTAATCTAATGAAACTGGGGAAAAACTACATTTTCAGCAAAACATTTTAATTTGGTCCTCTATTCAGAGACAATTGCCAAGATGTTTGACATAAATTTAATTCACAGGCATGTACACAAGGGAACCACTACAGAAAACATTGCTTTCTGGTTTATGAATAAAAAGTTTATCCTCTACTTACACTAAACATACAAAAAATAATCTACAAAAATCATTTATCATTGATTTTAGCTAAAGAAAACTCTTTGAAACAAACAAAAAAAAAAAAGAGAGAGAGAGAAATGATTGTGTGGTGAGAGTATTTTAGCCATCAAAAAAGTAATGTATAACCAATAAATATAATGTGCTTCTTCCATATAAACATATGTACACTAGAGTCTTTGGCTTATGTTATTTTCTAAAAAGAACTTTAAATGAGCCACCATTGCACATTAAAAGAAAATAAGCCAGTTAAGTGTATATATATATATATATATATATATACATATATATATATATATACACACATTTATATAGAACTCTGCTACACTTGGAACATATAAAAGTGAAATTTACTATGACTTTGTACAGCTTGGTTCCTTTCCCACTCCTAAGGTCCCACAGCTTTTATTTCAAAAAGAGAGGGAAATGCCACTTACAAAGTGCATGCAATGTGTGGTAGCTGCTCTACAGAGTGTAGCAGAGAAAAGGCTGCGTGGTCACTGGACAGACGTGGATCACTTCTCATTGGAATCTGTGTCTGGTTAAAGATAATTTGGGTGGTACGAAATGTGGATGCTCCCATACAGTAACAGAAACTGATCAAGTCCTTTTTATTAAGATACACAACTTTATAAGAAAAATACGTTTGCCTCTCCAATGTAAAAGCCTCCCACCCCCCACATTAAAATCTCTCTGTGCAGGTGTAACAGGTACAACAGCTGCTGGCTCAACAGATGAACGGATTTCTGCTTGGATGCTCTGAAACAGTCTCAGCGAACTACGAGGACTCCAGGTACTCCAAAGCCACGTCATAGCAGAAACGATACTGCTCCTGTAGCAAGTCAGAACAGAAGGGATGGAAGGAGTCAGCAAAAGGCTAATAGTAAACAATAGCATCTGTGCGAGTTCTTGACACCCAATTTAGATTATTTAAGAGTCACAAATTACTTATTTTATATATAACAGGAACATCTGGCCATGTATATTTTATACTGGAATCTAATGATCCCTTCTTAAGAAAAAGTATGCTTTATCTTTGAAAAAGTATGAAAAGTAAAAAGATGCTTTATCTTTGCCCTGCAACTCTTATCACCTAAGGTAGTGCCCAGGATTTTGTTGTTTCGTTTTGTTTTGTTTTCGAGACAGGGTTTCTCTGTATAGTCCTGGCTGTCCTGGAACTCACTCTGTAGACCAGGCTTGCCTCGAGCTCAGAAATCCTCCTGCCTCTGCCTCAATGCCCAGGATTTTCATGTGATTAAAATAGTTAAGAATGTTTCCCAGCTTAGAAAAAGATAAAGAACCAAGGTGTGGTGGGGCACACCTTTAACCCCAGCAGTCAGGAGGCAGACAGAGGCAGGCAAGTCTCTGAGTTTGAGGCAAGCCTGTACTACAGAGTTACAGAACAGCCAGAGCTCCACAAAGAAACCCTGTCTTGGGGTGGGGGAGGGGGGCAAAGAACCAGGAAAAAAAAGCTGTCTTTAGAAGCAATTGTTAACGATCACCTTTGTTAAGTTCTGACATTTTTAGTACATGATTGAAATAATAACCATCTCAAAATAAATAAAATCTCAGAGTTCTCAAGATGACTTTCTGTTTTACATTTTGTATGTTACATATTCTGAGTCTTTTTATATCACACAAAAAATCTACCATATGGATTATTTAGACATCTTTCTGTTTTGTACTGCTGCTGGGGTGTACCTGTGCTTTCCACCATATTCCAAATGATCTCTTTAGATAAGAGAGAGGAAGGGAGAGAGGGGGGGAAGGGAAGGAGGGAGGGAAAGAGGGAAGGAGGAAAGGGGAGAGAGAGAGAGAGAGAGAGAGAGAGAGAGAGAGAGAGAGAGAGAGAGAGATCCACCATATACTAGCTTTTGCAATTTCATGTTCTTCATTTTCCATAGTTCATATTCTATTAGAGTAACATTTCAACCAATTTAAAAAGAATATTTAAGAATTAAAAAAGCCCTCAAACTTATTTATACCTAAATGTATTTCTGACACCTCTTCTTAATTAAGACAACCTGCTTGATAATACAACATCTGAGTTAAAAATTATACTTCTTTTGAGTATAGCCTCTTACTTTGTCCACTATCAAGACATTTACAAAGTCCAGACACTGTTATAAATGATGACTTATGGAATTCATTGTAAAGCTCCTAATCCAGTCCAAGTAGGTAAAATCCAGGCAGGGTGAACAAGAGCAGAACTTAAAATCTTAAAATGAATATTAAAAATATCCAGGGTCTCTGACAATAAGCACAGGCAACATGAGTTTCTAAGAGGTGAGTATTGCTTTTCACCCTGCGTACTGAAGTAGATATGGTCTCCATTAGCTCCCTGGGGAAGTGCATTCAACAAACCAAAAATTGCTTACAGCCAGTCAGCGCCCCTCAATTTTGTTTAAATCTACATTTCCCTACCAAACTCAGTCCAAACCATAGTAAACTTTATTAATCATAAACTTGATTAAGTAGTGCATTCTGTCAATTCTGTCAAGATATGTGGGACATGAATAAAAAGGAAAACAACTCACTGGAAGGTTCTAGAACAAATGTTCAACTGTAGACTTAGAAGTCAAAGAAAAGGTAGTATATCAAAGACAAATGCTACTTCTGAAGGCAGGAGTAGTCTCCAAGTGGCTTGAAATGTTTCAGGTAGAGAATACACAGGTTATTCATCTTGAAACCAGAGTCATAACTACCTCCTGTCCATTCTGTTTGTAAAAATTCTCAAATCTCTACTCTTTGTCTCTCTCAACTGCCAGCATCCCAGAGAGGGTGGCATTGTCTGGTCCCAGTTGGAACCCCCTAAGAGCACTTGAGAAAGGAAGAAGTTAGCTGCTACTTGCCAGAGTGAAACAGTGTAAACTGAAGTCTTTAGATGTTTGTCTCAGGAAACAATGCACTTCCTGTGTGAACACCTCAAGCAGGAAGTGGTGAAAACACACTAAGAGCTTACTGAATTGCTCTCTCTCTCTCTCTCTCTCTCTCTCTCTCTCCATCATCATCATCATCATCATCATCATCTTGATAAGCAACAATGATGCTCTGGCCTTTCTCCCTTTTTTTCTATGAGTGCGGGAGCTGCTCTTCCTTCCCTTGATCTCTTTGTACCTCTCCCCAACTAAAGCCTGTAGCAGAGGCAGTAACTGTCTTTCTTACTTGGTACACAATCCCCATCAGTCCCTACTTTAGAGGCTTTGTGAGCTTAGGAGAACTCGTGTCACATTATATGCAATATACTGTAAGGTTGATAAAAGCTGAAAATTGATAGCAAGGACAGACTGACAATTTCCATTCAGATTAGATAGTGTGGGTTCTAGACAATGGCTGCAATAAACTTCAGTCACTTTCAAAAACCCTGGGTGTCAGGTCTGTGCATACCGGTCAGTGGTGCAATACCTGGCCTAGCATGCTTGAGGTCCTAGGTTCTGTACCTAGCAACACATGCATCAAAATAAGTTAAATAAAACAAAGTAAGTGAATAAACAGAAAAGAGCTGCTTAAGATTCTCAGGTGACCTATGAGCAAGCATACTGTGAATTAACTCAATGGGCTTCAACAAGCAGAAAAGAGACTACACTTTAGTGAGATTTATTTTCTGAGAACTATTTACAAAAGTTTGCCAAAGCACAAATTCACTGATAATAAGTAGGAGAAACCCTACACATTTCTCAAATTAAATGTGAGCATTTTCTTTACCCAACAGGTCATGTGATAAGGAATGCATTTAAATGGGCAGAATAACTAGACTCGCTATACTCTACCTGTTAATCACAAAGTCCCAGCAAGATTCACTTGAGCATCTGACTGATTTCCTCTCTGTATGTGAAGCCCAACCAGTAAGTAAGTACATGACTAAGTAGTCACTGAGACCCCTCCCAAGATTCTGTGGCTCACCGGGGCTTCCACCATGTTTGGCTTGCTGTTCCTCAGGGTCTTTACTGCATGGAAAACATCCACCACATTTTGCCGTTTCACCATCTCCACAACAATGCCTATTGCACAGAACATACCACTGCGTCCACCTCCATTCCTGAAAGCAAAGAGATGCTTAGCACCTTTGGGGGAAATCACACGTCACAGGTTCTCCTGGGAAAGGAAACTTATCTTTAAAATCTCTTCCATTTCTTTGGATTCTCCTTTACATTTGTGTGTGAAGGGCAGAGAGGAAGAGGCTAGCGGATAAAGTTAGCTCAGGAGCTTATGCGCTGGAATATGTGACAGGCAGAATTTGTTGTGATGTGGACATGTTGGGATCTTAGCCATTTGCATGAAACAGAAGTTGTCCAGACAGGTACTAAGCATAAAACAGCTGCATAATTTTTATTTTATATTTTATTGCGTGTTTTGCCTGCATGTTGTCTGTGTACCCAGTGCATCAGATCTCCTGGAATTAGAGTCAGAGAGCGTTATGAGCCATTAGTTGGGTCCTGAGTATCAAACCCAGATCTTTCGGAACCGTAGCCAGTGCTCTTAACTGCTGAGCCATCTCTTCAGCCACATCAAGTGTATTATATTTAATAGTAAGAAAATAAAAGACAAACTAAGTAATAAAGTATTCATTCATGAGACTAGAGTTCTATTTTGAAATGAGATCTGTGGTAGGTCTGTCTGCTAGGCTTTGAGGAGCATCTTTTAAACATACACAACGCAAAGGCTAGCCAGGAAATGAGCTCTGAGGTTCTATGCATGGCAAGACCATGCTGCCCTGCCCTGCCCTACTCACAGGCAGTGGATGATCGTCCGGCCTTCCCCTTCTTCACATTCCTCCTGCCATTTTTCCACCTGCAGTATCAGTTTCAAAAACGAGCGTTTGGAGCCAGGCACTTCTCGATGAGAAGCCCAGCCTAGGTACTGGAACTGTTGTACCATCAGATAGCCTTCCTGTGGCTGTAGAGAAAACCAGCATTTTATGGATATCAGGATATAATGAATGGTAAATGACATGCACTTTTTATAATACAAAAGGAATTTATGCTGGAGTAAGTCTAGTAATTCAAGTGCCTTTTTAGAAACATGCCAAGGTATGAGAACAAGAACCCACAACTTGTCCTTTTTATCTGCCTGTGATATTGATTGTCAACTTGCTAGGCTCTAAAGTCACCTTGGAGACAAATACCTGGACACAATTGTGAAGTAGGTTGGTCCACCCTCCCTCCTATCTATTCTTATACAGGCATCTTGATTTTGCTGAAGTTCAAAAGTGATCTTCTCATTCTTAGACCTAATGGCTTCTTAATGCTCTTAGTCTACCATGACCCAAAACCTCTTTCAAGACCTGGTTCGCTTCCACCGTCACCCTTCTTCTCCCCTCTGACACACCACTGAGGTCAGAGACACTGGGCTCCCTGTAGCTCATTTACCTCTTTTCTTCTTGCCTTGGGAACTTTAATGAGAATTTCCAGTTTGTTTGGAGAACTTCTTATTATTGTGTCCTTTTCACTATCAAGTAGAATAGCTAATTTGACCCCAGTTTTACCTGGAGAGTGTTCTGTGATATCATATAACCTCAGTGTTCTTGGAAATCTCTGTCTCTAGCTATATCACACTTAAATATACCTACGAATTCTTCAAATTTTTGCTTGAATACTCTTATTTTACAGAAGTCTTTTTTTGGTCACTTATGTCTGATCATCCAGTCAAACAATTTGTATTCTGTGCTTCTCTTCTGACACGTGTACATCACGTCAGTAAATAGATACTTGTAAAGATTCTTGTATGATGCTAGTCTTCACTGATAAGGTATGGATTCCTTAGAGCTAAGGAATCTCCTCATTTCTCCTTAAACTGTGTATTACAAAAACTTTGCATGATACTTTCAGAATAGCACTGCTACTGAAAGACATTGAAACCTAGAACCCTGAAGAGAAAATATAGGGAAGACCATGCAGTACATTGAGTGAATGATCACAAGGTATTGGATCTTAAGTCTCCCATGGAAAGGCTCTGCACCTTTTGGTAGGACATAGATCCCCATCTCCTCTAATACCCCATTTATATACTAAACTCACAATGCAGCGAATGACACTAAATAATGAGACAGAGAATGGATTAATAAGCACCAGAACACAATATATGCAGGGACATAACCAAACAGTATATATAAAAATATCATGTAAAAAATAAAGCAATGCAGATTTCACATCTGAATACATTCCCATAGAAAGAGTTCAACTCACAGATGAGCTTTGCTTCTACAGTTGAGCAGCTACAGTTGCTTAGTTAAAATATTAATAGAACTACATTAGAACAGAAGTGCAAGCATAATGAGATTCCATTTAAGTTATAGTCTAAGATATGCCTGAATATTATGACTGAATTCATTCTTTTTTTCCTCCACTGAAATGAATGATGGGATCAGTTATGAGTTTATCCTGTTCTTACTTATGTACATATAGCCTAATTAACAAGATATACAGATAGTTCTTTTAATGTAAGAAACATCACAGTTCTGACCACATACTTAAAATAATAGGCATAAAGATAACTGATGTCTTTAAAAACAGGGCAATTGCCTCCTTTAAAAGTGCTGTTTCGAGAAGGTTACTATTTTCTTTTAGTTCTGCTTACTATCTGGTTACATAAGCTAAATAGTTTTAGTAGTTTTTTTGTCAGTTGGTTTTAAAGAAAAGACTGTCAGAGATTCTATCACACCAAGCACGTGACTTGTCAGGAAAAGAAAAAAAACCCCTGTGGGACACAATTGTCACTCAGCTGCTGGCAAAAGGCAAGAGTTAGCAACAGCAATTCCTCCTTTAGAGCTGGGCAGAGCCAGACGCTGCAGTGTTTAGTGAGGTGGAAGTCAGAATATGTAGATGGGGTCTGGGAGTGAGAGAGAATCAGCATTAGTTGTGGCTGGCTTCTGTCCCAAACTCGGGTTTCCCATTGCACACAGGCAGGTCCTGAAACAATGACAAGGAAGTCTCCTTTGATGCTGGCATGTTGCATCCTGTCCCTCTCTGTTGTCATCATGATTATTCTTACTTTACATGGGTAAGTCTTTTCTGGACTGGATGTCAATACTAACAAGGTGTGCTTCATCCTTGTCCTAAGTCCACATGTGCTGTGGGGCCAGGCCCAGACTATCAGGGATGACTGAGAAACTGCCTGACTCTAGATTTCCGAATGGGACATGCGACTACAGTCACTGACAGGAAAACCTAACTTTCAGCATTTCAAATTTCCCATGTCTGGACTCCATCTTGTCCTGGAACTAAGACCTAAGGTGATCAGTGGCTCTGGTGCGGGTTGTGGGGTGCTTATGAGTTCTTCTTTTCCTGTTGTTTGAATACAATTACGTCCCTACTTGCTCTGCATCAGCTGCCTTAAAATGAACTCAACAAAGACTTACTCTTGTTAGGTTACATATCCTAAAAATCCGATTGATCACATCACAGTCCATTGAACAGGACATGCATTCCACTTGGATGGGACCATATCGCAGCACCCCTTCCTCTGGCCAGTACTGTGGGCAGCCCTAGATGCGTGTCAAAAGGAAAGATAAGGGTGATTAAAGTCCTTATAAAGTAGAAAATGATATTTTATTACTATTCTGCTAAGATGTATCCAAAAGCACAAAATCAATCAATGTCCACCAACCTGGGACAAATCCACTTCATTTAACATCACAATGGAGGTACAGCCATAGTCGTACACTAATCTCCAGAAGTCTTTCACAGTGTTTGGCAATGGGTATTGTGTGACGATGAACGCGGCTGGTTGCCTATAGCTCTGTGGAAAAATACGATACTTGAGAAATATGAGAACATAAAATGCATAGTCAGGAAGGGAAAGGGAGGTAGACATGATTATATGTTCATTGTGATTATTTATAAAAGTCTTAAAGGATGAATAAAATACACAGTCAGTTGTACAAACAGATTCAGTGTATGCTGTTGTAAGAGCAAGTAGTGGTAGTAATATTGCATAGGTATGGAACCAGAGTGTTGCCTCAGCCACAGGACATACTGGTTCCAGGATGCAATAGAACCAGTAAATGACATAGAGTTTGATGTTGTTAAAGTATTTGAGTCCCTCCTAGTTTTATTTCACTGACAAATGTTAATATAGGACACAGAAAAAGGAAGAGATGGATGACTATCCTGAGGTGATGACCCTCCATGAGGTACCTGTTGGATAGTTTCAATTTCCCAAAGGTAATGAGTCTCTGAAAGGCTGCAAGAAAAACCAGCAAAGTATCCCTGCTTTGTCCATATGTATTCCATTTCTACAGGTGTATAAATAAAGTTATAAGATTCATCTCTTCTCCAATAAAAAAAAAATTACAGGTACCTCAGAATCATACAGTTTTTTTGTGAGTGTCATAAACATGTTCTCTATCAGTTAATCTACTTTCTGTGGTTGTTAAAGCAATGTTTATCTGGCCTGGGCAATCTGTCAGTCATGAGCTATACTAAAATACAAATATATACGTTTGTGTGTGAGTGCGTGTGTGACAAATTAAAGTTATACTGGCAAGTCTCAGGGTACATCAAAGATGGGGTTAGTTTCAGGTAGAGCCTGCTTTTAGATTATTAGGCTCTACAGCACAAAAGAAAGCAAAGAAAATGTGTAAGTTTATCTTTGCAGGAGACTGTAGGATGCTTCACATGTTTATTAGGCTACACATTTACTGACATTAATTTTAGAAAACCCAGTAAGTACTTGGGTATGGTGCCATATGCCTAGTGTACTAAGCACTGAAGAGGTGGAGGTTGGAAGATCAGGAGTTTGAGTCCATCCTCCACTACACAGAACATTAAAGTTCTCACGGGTTACATGAGACTATGTTTTGTGTTTGTTTGTTTGTTTTTAATAGAGGTAGCAACTTAGAAAACATCATAATAGTCAAGAGAAAAAAGACTCCTATATTTTCCTTGCTAGACTTTCATAGGTGAAAATGAAGCAGGAATGAAAGCAATACATTGTCTTAAAGGATTCTGAATCCTGATAGCTTTCTGGCTTCTTCCTGAGAGAACCAGAGCAAGATGGCTGATGAGAGTATTTGAAATCCTTCCCTGTTGTTCTGTTTATGGGCAACTGTCACATGGGATGAATGTTGGAGAAACTGCAGGCGATGAGCAATGGGGGCAGGTCCAAATAGTTCTTTCTTGATGGTTGCCTTGTTAATATGATATTGCTCATGTCTTCCCCCCTTATTTCTAAATAGTCTCAGCTAATACTAAATAAAACTAGTTATCTTTAAATTACTGAACACTGAGCATTACAGATAACTATTTCCAAATTTAAAAAAATCCACAATTGGGGCAGGATATGGCATTCTGTGATTTTAAAATGTGTTCCTACTGTTAAAGAAAAAAAATAAGATGTCAATTCTTCTAAAATAAATTTAGATAAAATTCAATTAAATCTTAAAATAATTAAGGTGAAATATATAACTTGTGATTTTTTTTCTAGGTGGATGCTATAATTATTGAACTTCAAATCTGCAATAAACCTATATATGTCATAGTTGCTAAGAATCTCAGGAGGTACAGCCTAATATCCTTTTCCAAACAATTTGTATTTCACTGACAGTTTTAAATTCTCCATTCTAGTCCATTTCATAATTCCAAATTAAAAAAAAATGTAGCCAGTTTTCAGTTGAGCTCTGTAGATTTTAAGGGCATTTTTCTCTAACAAAGAGTCAGTCTCTTACATCCATAAGAGCAGCATTGATGTAGTTACTGCTCTCCCCATCAACTGTAATTAAAAAAGGCAGACATCTGTCAGGTGGGAGCATGTCCATGAAACGGTTCTTGTCATGGTTCCTTGGCAGGCATGCTATGCTGCAGTCTTCAGCTTGTAGTCGAGGGGTGACCGAATTCAGAGTCTAAAGACAAAAGGGAACTCAGGTTAGAAGACAGTGGCCCATTTAATCCCATAACATAAATCCATCAAGTGTTTGGGAAGCCAAGTGGAAGGTGAAGGATTGGGTGAGTGAAGGCAAAGGCAGTTGCCTCTGTGACAGGCTGATAGACTCTTTAGTTAAACTAATGAAGCTTGTGAAATGAGGCAGTCAGCAGACACATTTTATTCACATGTCTCTCCTCAAAAGGGAGGAATAGCAAAACAATACAGCTACCCATAAAATGCCCTGCCCAGTCAAAGAAAATGCATGGTGATCCAGGAGGTAATGATGACTTTCAAAGGGGAAGCTACCATTTGCAATTACATTTTGTCATGTTAGAATACTACATCAAGAATCTAAATGGCAATTTCCCAGAGCTACGTGTGAACTCATTTTCTTCCATACTGACAGATGTATAAAGGCAGTGAGCACATTGGAGCTAACACAATGTTTAGTACGAATCCCAGATATTATTATTATGATGCTGATTACACATTGAACATGCCAGTGAAGGTCAAAAAGGTGAGGCTCTATTTGGGAAAAGAGAAGTTATAAACACACAAACCATAACCAGATTTGACTGCCATAATATCTTTTTTTCATATTTTTTTTCAGAGTATGAACTCATTTTGCCCTTCAGGATATAGCAGATATCAATGCATTAATAAAAAATGAATCAGTAATGTACATAATGAAAGACAAAAATGTTATGTTATAGTGGCAGAAGAAGGTTACATATTTGACTGGGAAGACTTTTTTTAAGAGTTATTAGTGCCCAGGACAAATTGGAAAGGCTTTCATAGAAACTTTAGAAACAGCACCTGAAATTCATCTTTGAGATGAGAGGAGTTAGTCTGCGAGTCTATTCGAATCATATCAAAATATGCAGCTTTAAATTCACACACAGGGATGGCAGTTTCTCCACATAAGCAGGCTTCTAAAATGGCATCATGAATAAAAATGTACTGCTCCTATCAAAAGGAAAGAGACAATTTCAAATTAGTTTAATAAAGTTTAATTTAGGGAAGACAGAGAATATACTGAAATGGAACCATCAACTTAAGATACCAAAGTTTCCCTATATGATTTAATGAGTTAAGGTTGATCATATATTAAAAATATGTCTTATTTGGTATATGGTAGAGACAAAAGTAAAAACAAAACAAGAAAAACTTGATTAAGGCAAATCAGCGTACCTCTGTCTGGACCATATTGATGCGGCGAGACCGTAAAGCTTTCACACAGTTGTAGATGTCAACCACACCCTCTCTCTCAGCCATGTCCAGCATGATGTCGATGACAATGTAACAGCCTGTGCGCCCAGCACCAGCACTGAGGGATAGAAAGAAGCATGACAGCACGTTTGTCATTAGAAGCTTGAGGCTCTATTGTATTTTGAGTCATCATCAATACAATGTAATGAAATGTAAACACATAACTTATATGCTACAGGAAAACATACTGAAGCACAAATAGCTTCATATATTGTGTCTGGCTTTGCGTGTACTTAGATTGGAACAAACGTTGCAATTTATTTCCACATTGAACATAATGTCTACATATGGTTCAAGTTCCACACCTTTATCACATGGACTTTGCGTCATGTGAATTTAAATGTTATAATTTCATAATATTTTATAATTTCACACTCATGGGATTCAAACAGTGGTGGAATCAAGTCTTTCCATGAGACATCGGAGGAGCCATAGTTCACCGGAAGTGCCAAAGGAGATGGATGGTTAAGAGAATCATACTACCAGAAAAGAAGAGCCTCCTCTGCTCTCCTCAAAAAACAAAGAATATTTGCTCCCTCTGAAGGGAAAGCAGAGTGCACTGTGAAATACGGAGTATGTATGACCGCTTATGTCACAGTGATAGCCGCTCATTTAAAAATTGTATTCTACATACTTACTTTAGTATTTTCACCTGAATGAATGCTTGGACTGTATGTATATATGTTTACCATGTATGTGCCTGGTGCCCTAGGAAATCAGAAGAGGGCACTGGACTCCTGAGACTGGAGTTGTAGACAGTTGTGAGGTGCCATGTGGGTTCTGAGCATTGAACCAGAGTCCTCTAAAAGAGCAGCCAGTGCTCTTAACTACAGAGCCAAGTCTTTAGCCTGATAGCCACTATTTTATTTCGTTTATAAAGCAGAATAATAACATGCTTTGATTATTTTAGCTTTCGGAAAATCTCTGCAGTTTCATAGACAATTGTGAGGTGGTGATAGGCAAGGGAGAGAGGTGAGGGATTCAGTGCCTAGCCAGTTTCTTCTTCTCTGTTCCTGCAGAGATGACCACGTGGGTAGGAAAAGGGCTCTTCTGTTTCTGGGGATAGGAGAATTCCAGAGCATCCATGAAGCAAGCAATTCCCAAGAAAACATAAACCCCTGATGAATCAAGAAGTCTCTGCATTAAACATGTACTTATCTCATTTTCTAAACAGTTACTTGGGCTAATGGCATTATTTCTTTCCTCTGCAAGGACAGTCACCTGTCTTACAATTGCTAGTCTCTTAGAATGTTATAATGTTCTGTGTTGCTATTTCTTTCTCTTATACCTTCTTCTCAATCACTGTTCCCAGTGTCTGTGACAGGTCCGTAATTGAGGAGAGTACATCAGATCTCTGGAGGACTGAAATGACATTTTTCCCCCCTTTAAGATGTGTCCAGTGTCTGATCATTATGGGATGCCTCTCTTACCTTTGTTTCTTCATCTTTTATTTTTTTAATAAAAGGTCATTGAAATTCTGAATGAGTTGGATTTTACAAAAACAAAGAAAGATGCTGAAGTTCTATGTATGAAATAGCTTAAAAGAAATGCTATCTGAGACTGGTGTGTGTACTTCAGAACAGCTTTTCAGAAGCTGTACTGGTTTTTCTGCCCCTATTTCAAAATGAGCCTTGCTGTTCGCTTTTAGTGTCTCAGGTTGCTTTTTTTTTCTACATAAGTTTCTAATCGGAAGAAATCTGGATTTAATATTCAAGTTTTAGCATATATTTGCAGACTCATACCAATGTGGTTTTTAAGGTCCGCTGATGGCTAATGTGAAAAAGAAAAAGTTATGCACCTGTTTTATAGCCCCAATTCTTGCAATTTAGGCCATTTAGTAACGGCATACATCTCAAATTTACCTTTAAAAGCTGGGATTCCAGTGAAGACTAAGTAGATTGGCAAAAAAAAAAAAGAAAAAGAATTTAAAAAATAAACAAACCTCTATTTTTAACTTACTATTCTATACAGTATGGGCTTTTCAAAAATGATAAAATCTCTTGACACATATATTGCCACTCAAAGGCACTTCTAGGCTTGTACTCGCAGGTAACATACACGTGGGGCCTCTGGAAGTTCTTAGCTTACATACTACACACAGCCAACTTTTCTTTCTGTTCTACATTATCTGTAGTACAGCAAGTACAAACCTTGTGAGCAACCTTTAGCTTTTGCACTTTTCAGCCCTGTTTGGATGCTCATTTAAAGGTGGGAGCATTGCTCACCTGCAGTGTACGACAATGGGCCCAGCGCTGGGAGGGTTTGACAGCTTGACTCTCCGGATAAATGACAGGAGCCCTGTGGCGTGGTATGGAACACCGTGGTCAGGCCAGCCAGTGAAGTGGAACTGTTTGACTTCACGGATTTCGTTGTAGCCCCTCTGTACAAAGATAAAAAACAGTGCCTTAGAAACAATCCGTAGAAAATCACTAAATACACTATGACTTCTAGATTTGAGTAGACTTGAAAAAAATTAATATTTACTGATTTTTTTTAAAAGGATACTGGTCTAATACAGTCTTGGAACTTAACCTTTATTGGTAGAGAACTGGCATGAAAAAAAGTTAGTTTTGTTTGATCTCTGGGTAATTTTAATTTGTCTTTGACAGCTTGCTTCGTACCAGGAGTGACATCACATGAAATTATGGGGGGTGGATAAGAAGGGAATGGGAAGGCCCTCCTGACCTAGTATACTGAGTTCTCAAGTGGAGATTTCAAAACCCTGCTTATCCATGTTGAAAATGGTTTTGAAGCCTAGTATGTAGGGATTTTCCAGCACAGTGCTACACTAGATTGGTTTGTGGAAATACACAGGCAGCTAAACTGTTCTCTGAGCAAATGATTTTTCTCAGCTCTGTGAAGTCATTTGGCTCACAAAGTATGATCTAGAGTAACAGCACAATGAAGGAAGTGACCCATCCACTGCCGTTCTCTCTCCTACTGGGTTAATTTAAGAGAACCCTGTAAGGGTGCCAACAAGCCCTCTGCAGTGTCATAAACAAGTCCTTAGATCTGAGGAAGCTTTGGCACTGTAAATATAACACTGAAAAATTTATGCTGAGTGATCTGTATTTGCACAAACAAAAAATCTATATCAACCTAACTTTACTGTGAGCTACTGGTGAAGATATTAATCTTACTTCGTCAATCAGAAAAAGCAAAAACAGGAGCTAAATAAATCAATTTAAGAGTGGCAGTTTATCTTCAGAGTCTGTCTTACAGAAACCAGTGCTGTCAAAACCTCAGGAGCTAGGGATTATGTGTTCTAATTCTTTTCAATATTAATTCCTAGCATAGTACGTTACATGGAAAGGGCTCTATGAACAACCTTAACATTCCCACCACAAAAGACATCCAAAAAATCACAAAAATGGCAAAAATCACTTTTTTTTTTTTTTTTTTTTTACTATTTTCACATCCTCTATACTAACTCCTTTGCCAGAGTGGTTGCGTGGGCTGTACTGTCTTTCTACTACTGTGACATGTGCAAGGTTGCCTTTTAAAAACTAATTTTCCTATCTGGGAGTAAGATTCCCAGGAATCTTTTATTTAAAAAAATTCTTGCGTACCTTAGAAAGTAGTTAAGTGGTAGAATACTTGACTAGTCAGGACAAGGCCATGTGATTTATCCCAAGGATTATTTAATTAATTAAATAATAAAATTCAAGCTAATGACCAGATAAAACATGTTTTGCTAAATACAATCAAAGAGAATGTGGAATGTTCTATCATGATGGAAGCCCTTTTCATATATTTTCTGTAGACTGCTAATAAAGAAAAAGTGAATTTTGTGTTGAATTACTTAGTAATTTAAGTATTATTAATTTTTCTTAAAAAATAATATCATAGTTTTCTTGGTAGAAAAGCTTCTCTTACAAATAATTTTGGTTTTAAAAAGAGCTATAAAACTGTGGCTGGAGAAACAGTTCAGCAGTTAAGAACTCTGGCTTTACTTCTAGAGAACCTAGGCTTGGTTTCCAGCACCCACATGATAGCACTGACCATCTGTAACTCCAGTCCCAGGGCATGCTGGCCTCTTATGGTCTCCATGGGCACTAAGCATGTCTGTGATTCACAGGGATGCATGAAAACAAGATATTCATATACATAAATAAAATAAAATAAAATAAAATAAAAAGCATAACATTTGTTATACAACACGTCTTTTACAAATTTTCTAAAATTTGCAAAAATACCAAATGCTAGTACAAATGTCTATCCACCTTACTTTTACCAATAATAAGGTGTCAAGAGCCTCTATATTAATTTATTATAATAGTCTCCTTTCCACTCCACGCATGCCGTAGTTATTGAGAGGTCATTTTTCTATTCAGGAAGTCTCCTTATTTTTACTAAAGCACCATACAAATGTCTTTAAGTACAATACATTAAATGCAAGAAGCAATCAATGAAATCACGTAACTTCACTACTATACTCCATGTCTTCCATTAATTTAAATGTCTTCATGGTCTTAGAAAAATATAATAGCTCAGATATTTTCTTACTTCACGACTAGATTCCATATCTCTTAAGATCTTCTTTCATATTTCTGAAGGAAATCGATCATTTATTGTGTGTTTAGGAGAAGAGATGGGGAGGGGGGAGTGAGAACTGTTTATCTCTGTAATCAGCATCATGTGAGCTTTGAAAATATATTTTGTTGACTTTAATGGTCTTCTCTGGTTAAAAGAATGGCCAAACCCATTGTTTAAAAGAAATTCTCAGCTACAAAAACATGTTTTCATTTCAATGGTAAATTTAACAATCACCCTCTGACACACACAGACACAGATACACACACACACACACACACACACGCACAAACACACACACACGCACACACACACACACACACCATCTGTCTAGCCTTTTCTTTGAGTTAGTTTTTGAGAAATAAAATTTGCTAGACAATTGGTGTGTCTGGATCAAAATCTATGTCTCTAGGTCAAAATTTATGCATGATTTTAAAAGTAACTTCGTGAAGATTTGTCACTGTGCTTCCCTTAATGATTTAGGTGTTTTATTGATCTTTTCAAGAAACCAGGCTTTAAAGGTATTATTTTCCACCTTAATATATAACTTGCTTTTGTTTTATTGATATTCTCTGTGTTTCTAATGGTTTGACTTTTTCTCTGGCATATCATGTTTACAGTTATTTAGAATTTTTCAACAATACAAATTAGGTATTACCTATAAATACATTCTTAAGAATAGAATGCACCAAATGTTTTTTAATTCCATGGTTAAACTTCTATACTAATTTGAAGAGGCTTAAAGTATTTTAACAAAATCGTTACAAATTCCATATTTAAGTGATCATACACAGTCAATGAGGATTATTGTTCTTTGTAATTCTTCTTGTTCATTTGAAAATACAAAATGGTATGTCTATATTCATTGACTGTTCTCAATAGGCATTTTATAGTTGCCTGTCTTCACAGATTCTAGTGGTTTTCATTTACATCAATGCTATGAACTGATGTTACCGATGTTCATTGGCTTGTGTGTGCCTGTGTTTACATGTTTGTATGTTCTACTATCTATTATGCACTTTTGTAGTGTCCATGGTTCTGTGCCCACGTCCATCCCTTAAGAGTGTGCACTCTCTCTCACTTCTTTAGCTCACCTCTTTAAATTCAGTGTGTCACAACACGACCAAAAATTATGAGTAAAGAAAAAGGAGAGTTGAGAGAAGTGAGAGCAATTAGAATGTGTTTTAACAATGAAAATATCAAGAGAAAATTAACCAGTGAAATCAAACCAAAGCAGCAATGATGTATCCTGGACGTTAAAGCCTCCAGTGGCCTAAGGCAAATTAAAATCACTGGGATAGGCATCAGGTTTCAGTCTGGTTCTATGATTCATTCATCCTGCCTCTTTCCTTTCCTCTGAGTTACCCATCTCTGAAATCTGATCCATGAATCTCAGAAGAGAAAATGTAAGCCTTAGGGTTCCAGCGTGACCCATCTCTTCCAGGAACACCTTCTCCTGACATACCCTCACGCCTCACTTTCTCCGGATCCATATGCCATTTAAACTACGTTCCTCCCCTTAACCCTTTAATTTTGTGAAACATTTCCTCTTGTATTTCAGTAATATTTCCTGTTTCAGTTTCCAAAGGGTATTCTATCACGAACAAACACAAAACAAATGAATTTGTAGATTAATGAATAGATGGGTAGGTGAATTTCATAGTAATCAAAGAAAACCTTGAGGTGATTTTCTGAAAGTTTCAATATTCATATTTTCAATAGACGTTAGAATGCTTACCCTTTCCAAGGTGAATGTCCTAACTACGTATTCAGCAAGTGGTTCCATTTCTATGCAAGTAACTTTGAAGTCACCATAAACCTCAGTATCATCAGGCCAATATTTATAGCATTTCACCTAGCAATGAGAAGAATGCATAGGTACAGATTTATCTGAACACATACACAGTAGTCAAGACAACTTCATTACAACGATAAATTTAGTTCACGATTCAAACACAGCTGAGAAAATGTCACACAATGAACAGACTGTGCACTTTGAAAAAATGTTAATTCTAATAGATCAGTTATATTTCAGTATAGAATTTAAGCTTATCTTAGTTTCTTCCAAGCATTTCCTCATAGGTAATCCAATCAAGTGGCCTGCCCTACACATATGCATATACAAGCAATAACACCTGGACTCTGTGGGTTGTATAAACATGTAGCAATCATAAGTAAAGAAAAGAGTATGAATTTGGGGACAAGGTGCAGGGAAAGAACTGGAGAAGAAAGGGGAGCAGTCATGTATAAAGCTCTCCTAAATTATTATTTTTTAATTAAAGATCATCTTATTGTTCAATGAGAAATCAAATATTTCTCAGTCATTGAAAGTTCATTTAGGTGCATTCAATCAATCTGTTCTGTCGATGAAATATTCTTAAACTACTGGATGATCTTCTCCAACGGAGTTGATTATTGTTTTCAAGACTACTCATATATGTTTACTCATATATGTAAGTAAATAAACAAACAAACAAATAAATAAGTAAATATAGTTTTCTCTTACCCAGATTACTGTTTTCAAGAATACTCATATATGTAAGTGTATGAATGAATGAATGAATGAATGAATAAATAAATACATTAATAAATAAATAAAGCTTTCTCTTACCCGGCCAACTTCCACTAAATTAGTGACCATCACAATACAGGCAGACTGCTCTTGCCACACCATCCTCCAAAAATCATATACGGTTTCATGAACTGGGCCTATAAACAAATTATTTTTCATCTTATGTTATCAGAGACATTTTATAGGTAATAAAAAGTTTGAAGCACATAAACACTAGTGTGCGTGAGACAAGCTAAGCAAGGTAAAACTTCCTACTACCGCTAGAACCACTTCATGTCAGTTCATACTGGAATATATGCTACACACACACACAAAAATCATAGACATGTACCAATTTTTTTCTTCAATTTGTCTTCTAGATATAGCAGTTCATTAAGAGGGTATCATATTTTCTAAGGTGTTTATTCCTGTCTCTATGGTACTCCACTGTACTTGTACATATATGTGGAAAACAGAACTCTCAGGACACTGTGAGAAGAGTGACAGACATCACCAATTAACCAAATGTCCAGCATTTATAAATAGTGCATGATTAAAAGTAAATGAAGTAATGTCCTTACTTATCATTATTATTCTACATTATTACCTAACTGCAAAGGCATGTGCTGGCTATCATCCATGTAGAACCACTGGTGTATGCTTCAATGCAGCATTGTATATTTCTAACAGTAAAGAATACTCATTAAACCCAGTTAACTAAAATGAAAGGTGAAATACTGATAAAATGACCTCTGTTAAAAGAGCAAATGTCAGGAAATAGATTTAGGTCCCTGGTAGCCTATGCCTAGCAAGGACATGGCCCTGGGCTCTGTGTTCAATACCAAAGAAGGAAAAGACAAAAGCAAAGCAATACAAAACCAAAAACTGAATAAAAGAGTAGCCATGTCTCTTTACTTTCCTCTTACTTTAAGTAGTCATACACATTCTGTGGGTGGCCAGGAGACATTCTGAGGAGATTACAGATTTGTTTGTTTGTTTGGACACTTTCATTTCCTAGTGCACCATGATCAACCTTCTTTGCTTTCTTTCCCATAGGAATAGACTTGACTACATTCCCTCGGGCCTATGTTTTGTTTCAGTTCACAATTTGTCATACATTGCTGGATGACAGTACAGTATCTCGTAATCACTATGGGTCTTATTGCTTTTCAAGCTGACAGAATTGACTACAAGATGACAGCAGCCCAAGGTAGGAAGCGTGCTCACTCCTTGTTCATCAAATAAAGTAATGCTTTTCCCAGCACTACTGTTCAGTGTACTGAGATACCTGATCATCAAAGATCAAATCACAAAAACAATCAGAGGATTTTAATTTAAAAGAGAATCAAGATTAAGTTTTCCTAGGTTTTGTACAAGTGTTTGTACTACACAAATGAGTAAGAGCCATGTTTTTTAAAAGACAAAATTACAAAAGAAATCCCTACTAGATAATAATACTTATAATATTTAACATAAATAAATATAAATTTAGTATTTGAGAGACAAAATTTACCTTGAGTTGCTATGTAGTGGCTTGGTCTCTGGTAGCCCTAAAGTAGGAAAGCAAATTGTTTATCATTTTACATTGGTATCAGAAATAAATAAATGAAGGCATAAAAAGGGGAAGAAAACCACCTCTCAAGATTAGGTTATAATTAAAAGACCAGAACTGAGTAGTGAACACAGGGTCCACTTCTCAAACCTATGTTATGTGAAGAGTAAACAGGCAAGGCTCAAGTATTTTAAAAGCTCTGATTAGAATTTATATCAGATAATTGAATTTTGTTTGCTGAAGACTAACCCCAGAGATTTAGTTTAGTTTCACTAAGGTGTTTATGCCTTCATGTAAATTTTACATCACTCATTCCTGGTTAAAGTCTATGAAAAAACATCACCTCTTATTGCATCATCCAAAAGTACAACACACCGCATTACAAACGGACAACGACATATTAGAACCAGAAAAAAGAAAAGTAAAGTGAAAAGGAACACAACATTCCGATGTTAGAGCTGGACAATGCATGCATGCTCAAATCAAAGTCCTGGTGAAATTGATTCTTAGTCGTTTTGGGTAATATTTCGGTTCTATAACATGTTCAGGAATCTGCAGGAACTATTTTGTGTGTGCTGATAAGATGAAATTTACACACACGAAACTTTACACACATATATAGGGAAAAAGTTTTCAAAACTGCACGTTTTCTTCAACAACAATTTTAGTGGTATTCAGTGTACAAAAGCTGTTTATAGACATTTAATATTATTTCAATGAATTCTTCCTGATAAAGATCGATCTGCTTATTGTCTGCTCTCAATGGCCAACGTGTCACAGGTGGGTTAAAAAATATATTGATGGCATGATAGGGTTAAGTAGGATTTAGTGATATCTGTTAAGATTTGTCCATATTTGGTATGGACAGCTCAGTACACAGACAGTACATATGGAACATGGGGGCGGGGAATAGTCTGTGACCAGGGAAGGAATACAGTGTGCATCATTCCTCTGTAAATACAAAAATGATCGCTCCTTTTTTTTGCCTTGAGACTGGATGTTCCTAGCCTTGGCTGGCCTGGAACTTTCTACATATCAGCATAGCATTCTGGTACCACACTCACAGAGATCCATCTACAACTGACTACGAGGTGTCGTAATGAAAGGTTTGCACTGGCACACTCAGTTGGTTTTGATTTCTTGGTAAGTCACCATAATCCGGAAATGTTTCATGGAATCGTGTTTCAAAGTTTCATAAGCACTTCAATTTTCTGTTTTAAATGAGATATCTATGACCTACAGAGATGTATCTTGTGTATAATATACAAACAAGAAAAGAAAATTATAAGATTGTACTGTATTTAGCTAAAATATACTGGGATGGTTACAGAGTTGTATAACAGATTTTATTTAGAATAAAGTCCTGCCCAGTGAACCATAAAATAGTATAATAGCAAGGCTCCAGCCTGTATCTGTTATGGCAGAAAACTCAGGTTAAACTAAGAGCTAGGAAAAATTACAAAGTTGTAAGAGAATTGTTGATGTCTTTTGTGCTACAGAAAAACTAGTTTAGTATTTTTCATGACATGTCTGACAAAACTTAAAGTTTTATGAAAATAAACTCTGATGAAAAATTAACCAATACATTTATATGCTATTCTTACTACATTAAATCAATTAGTTATAATTATTAAAATAACTGTAAGGCACAAAGATCATAGCTGTGATAAATTGTTTCCTATTTGCAGAAATTAGAACAGGTAGGGGTTCCTACTGCATCTCTATATGAACACTGACAGTATATGCTGTAACTCTGTATTACACTTTCGACTTAAGAATATACATGCTGTGATTCAATTCACTCAGAACTTGGGTTTTTAATTATTAAGAGCTCAAGTTTGGCAAGTGTTAACTACGTGTTAGACACTGTACTAGAGGAACTACGTGCATTTCCCCAACAAAGTGATAAGGCTAAAACTATCATCACTTCACTGTGCAGATGAGGGAACTGAGGCACACAGAGAGAAAGCAACATTCTTAAGATCTGATCCCAGGGTCTTTTTTGTTATTTGTTTTTTATCGTATTTTAGGTATATTTGTCTGAATATATGTATGTGTAGCACATGAATGTTTGGTACCTAAGGAGTTCAGTAGAGAGCATAAAATACTCTATAACTGGAGTAATGGAGAGTTGTAAACTCAATGTGGGTGCTGGGATCTGTACCAGGGTCATTTGCAAGAGTAACAAATGTAGCTGATGCATCTCTAAACCTTCTAGTATAAATTTCAAACAGGCAATAGAACCAAAGAGCCTGTCTTTACATAAAATACAATATATTGCCCCTTTGGCAATAATTGTATTTGATAATTACCTTCCCTTACATAAAGCATTGCCATGTCCATATCTATAACCAAAATTTAACACAACAAAATGTGATGAAAACAGACTTTATTGGTATGATCCGATATATATGTGTGATATATATATGCTTAAAATATGATATAGAATTTTTTGCATGACGAATTTTACAACTTTACAAGCCAATATCACACACCACAAAATAGTCTCCCTACTTATTGTATTTATTTGTGCTTTTGAGATAGGGTTTTATTTAGCCCAGGCTGGCCTTGAAATTCACTCTGTACTCCAGGATGCCTTTCCACTTCTGATTAGCCTGCCTCCACCTCCCAATGGCTGGGATTATAGGCATGCACCACCATGCCTGGTTTATGCAGTATTTGGGATTTGAACTCAAGGCTTCCTGTATACTCAGCAAGCACTTTACCCACTGAGCTACATTCCTGGCCCCATTCTCATCTTTTAACATAAAAAGTGAATATAAAAAATAAAATTTCAAAACCACTAATGCACATCATACTATCCAGCTTCTCACATATGCTTAGGGAAGGGAAGAAGAAAAGCCAGAGACAGAAATCATCAACAAATGAAATTCAAATGCATAATAATAAATTGTTGAAGGCAAAAGCAGCCCCGTCTTTCTACACAAGAAGAGGGGAGGAGGTAAGATAGTTCTTTACGCACGTAAAATAATTACAAAATAAAACGAAACAAAAATATATTGTATGAGACTAATTAGGTGACACATGCAGAAACAACTAGACTAAGCATTAGTAGTAACTGCGATTAAGGGTATTTATAGTAAATATTCATCAGAGGGTGCTGTTATGGACATATAGTGGTACTTACATCCCTGTACAGCCAAATCTACAGCCCAAACCAAAGTCAGGTGCGAAAGAAAGCACAACAGTGTCAGTAAGTACTAGGATGTAGAACAAGGAAAAGTGTACAGTTTGTTCTTTACTTTAAAGGTAGTAATCAAGTCATAGGTAACAACAAGCATCGAGTTCATAGCTGTGAGCTGATAAACTGGGCATACTGCGGAAAGACACCGTGAGGACACTTACATCGATGTAGTTGGCATTAATGTAATCTGAAGAAGGATCGTCCTCCACGGGTTGCAGGATGACTCTGGAGTGATCATCTGAAAGGTTTAAACAATCACATGCAAGTTATTTGAGTTCCTCAGTCCTGAGACAGTCAGTGGCAAAGACTTAAGGACAAAGTTGGTCTTTATAATCCACACTCTCAAAGCTCTGCGTTATTATTTCATCATTCATCTGGGCTAAATGCAAGAACTACATGGAGCTCACTACTTATTCCAGCTATAGCTCTGAATCCAGGTTCCCCAGCTTGCCTTTCACATCAGGAAGTTTGCGGGTGGCGCCACAATGTCTGGATGGCTCTTCATTTGGAACACAGATTTTATAGCCACAGAACTAGACTGTGAATTTTGAACCTGTTCTTCACTCCTTGAGACAGGGGTATTGTAGATAGTTTAGAATGATTTCAATTCAGAGTGGGCTGGTTTAAGGAAATCAGCAGATAATTACAAGTTAGGTCACCCGCTCTCCTTGCTACTCCCAAGCTGGGTCTGGGTCTAGTCATGACTTGATATTTTGCATGCACTCTTCATATAGGTATCATCTGAATGGAACTTCTGAGTGATTAATGGCCTGTAGAATCTGGAGTTCAGTCTCTGCCTCCAGGTAATGTGTAAGGGCATGTGGAACAAATACCTCTCAGCAACCTTGAGTATGACCCACAGGAGTGTTATACTAATTCATAATTGAAAACAAAACTTTGGCATTACCCTAATATTCTTTAACATTAACTAATAACCTCCCATGTATTTTAGCCAAAATTTAAAACAGCAAGTTTTTAAAGGGAAGTGTGAGAGTGAATTTATTGAGGGCGATGGCAATTTCAGAGTCAGCTAACATTGTTTTTAATATTCAACACATCACTTAACAGACAGCCATGTTACCTCTAGGATTCCCTAACGGCAAACCCCTGGAAGTGGTAACTCACTGTTCAGGGTTGTACATGTAATGTTTACAAGTGTCAAGAACCTTACATGCTATGATGTTTCCGTATCGGTTCTTTGCTCTATTCTGATCTTTCTTAGCCACATCCCAAGAGGCTGACTGGCCTTCAAAGAAGCTCTGGGAAAAAGAAAAAAAGAAGAGAGTTGACAAGCACATCTAACTTAATTGTGTTTCAAAACAATTTTTATCTGCTCTGAAAATTCAAACAGTGGAAGTCACATTTGGGGGGGGCGGCAGGGCTGTCTGTGGCTGTGAGCACACTGTTTCTCAGACCTCAAGCCTGGTTTGTGGGTGCAAGTTTGTTCATCTTAAGTTGGGCTGATCTCAGGTGAAAGCCCAGCAGTAATTTTAGAGAAAAAGAGAGCCTTGAAAATACTTCAGTTTTAAAGTAGCTATAATTTTGTGAGTTACAAGTAGGAAAACTCTTTTTCAAAACTGTCTAAATGATAATACATTAAAACTTAGAAAAACTACAATTAATGGCTATCTTCCAAATGTGTGTTCATCAGCTTTTATGAGGAAAAAACCCACTTTGTTCCCATAATTCTTTTTTTTTATTAAATAATTTATTTTTTCTCAAATTGTAATTCATTCACACCGGGGTTATAAACTCAGAAAGGCAGGATGTGGGGAAGTGAATGACACTGGAGTGTGGGTGTTCAGGGGGAATACAGATATCTTCAGAACTGGGTATCAGCTGGTTCCCATAATTCTTTAGTCATGTGTGATCTGTTATTTTTTTTCTCTTTGAAGGCCATGAACATGGGGTCTTTTCTGGGAATGGGCTTACAAACGTTCGCCGTCTCCAAGAACCTATGGACAGATGGGCTCACTGGTTGGTTCAATCATGCAGCAATTCAAAATATGGGTAAAGATCTCTTTTTTGTAGAAAAACTTAAACTTTGCTCAACACAGAAAGTAGGGTCTTCAAAGAACCAATGTTCTTTGAAGCAGAGTGCACAGGAATACACATGAAACGAGCAAACAGAAACTGCTATGGCAGGATATTCTAATTCCCAGCCCTTATTTTAGGCACTTCAGCAAATATCGAAAGGCAACGTTCAAAATCTCAAGATAATTTTTCTCACCCCAAATAAGGTATCCAAGTGGCCCATGTATGAAATGTGAACCTTTTAGGTCTTTCCATGAAGTTGAATGTGTTTTGATTGCTCTTTGGAATAAAAGACACTTGGTGTCTTCCACTTTAAGTGTGTCCCTATGTTTCTGTGTGCACACACTTTACTGAGTGTATGAGTATAAACTGGCTTCAGTGTTCCACACTGAGATTTAGAAGCAAGAAAGAGTTTGCAAAAGGAACTTTTTCTTTTTGCTATTTCTTGGAATGGGATTCAAGTCATTTTCTTTGTAAGGTAAAAATCTTGGTATTATGGTCTGAGTAGGAATATAAAATATACTGGGAGAAGAAATTTACCACATTTAATTTTTTTCCCCTTTGGATGCTGTATACTTGATTTGTGGTGTTCAGTTTTTCTTCCTTGCCATCCACAGCCAGCAGTTCACAAGATTGAGGGAAGAGTGGGAAGCAGAACATTTAACTTAGTATCACCATTAGAGGGCTTGCAAGTAAGGAGAGAGAGAAACACCTAGAACTTAAGTCAACTGGTGATAGCATCCCTAACACACTGCAAAGGAGCTCTGGGAATCCTGTTCTTGACTTTCGAATAGGGGACTGTGGAAAGACCTAGTACAGTATTTTTGATATCACACTGAAATACCTCAGAATCCATTCTCAAAACTCTTACACTGAATGTAACCCCAAATGCACTTCTGAGAAGGGCTTGTCTTCATTTCCCCGCTTTCCCATACATACACATGACGGCCTCCTCAACACTAGACTAGAGAGGTGGTAAAGTATCCCATTTTTGTGATGTTAAAGGGGAGAAAATGCTATATCCCACTGAGTATCAAGTTAAAAGTAAAATTCAATACAATGTTAAAGCTTTCACCTCATATTCCTCTTTGAACCCATAGCTGTCTGATGTCTTCATGAGGTTAATGTGCTGCAGTAAGTCGGCCACCCTGATGGCTGGGTGCAGCTGTCCTGTCTGGTAAGGGGACTCTGTCCCTTCGCAGAGGTATCGAGGAACATCTAGGAGACGACTAGACTCTGCTGTGGCACTGTGGTTCTCATCTGGCGGATTTGATATTCCAGAACATTAAAAGAGAGATAAAGTTATCTTGTTTAATGTATAGCCATGCAAAGAAGACTTTTGATCTTTCTAGTCATAGAAGGAAGGAAAAGAAAGGCCGGCCAAGAAGGGTAGGGTAGGGACTGGAACAGCAATCCTCTTAAAGACAAAACCTTTCACTTTTGCTCAGGGGTTAAAGGCTAGAACGTATGTGTCTATCAGCAAGTCAACAGATTCTGGGAGAGACAGGAAGACACTGGATTCATTTAGCTGAGTTGCCTTGGATTTTAGCATTTGGAGTCACAGCAGCATAGGCTGGAGCCAGAGGACCAAGCTGCCAACTGAAAAAATGTTTTCACCACTGATCAGGTTGGATAAACTCTTTCACACTTACACTCCAACCTCCCTCAGAGACAGTTTACACAGCAGCCCCATCACAGCAGGGATGCTCATCTCCATACCTTCCCCCTCCTTTGTTTCTCAATACAACATACCCTGGACTGCAGACACAGAATCTCACCCCCACCCCTTCGGTCCTCCAGGAGGCTTCACATGCGCTTTCCCTTGGGTTCTTGTTACTATTTAATATTGTTTTAACTACCGGTACACTTGGACTTGTCTGTCTGCTATATGAGAAGAACCAAGGGTATTGGAGATAAATGTGGATACCTCCCTTGAATCCCCAGCCCCTCCCCAACACGGTTTTACAAGGTTCCCTCTTATGTTTCTAAGACACCCAGAATCCCTGAATGCTACTTTCTTTGCCTTGTGTTTTAACTATTTATTTATTTATTTATTTATTTATTTATTTATTTATGAGACAGACTCATGTATCAGAAATTCAGTAAATATTTCAATGAGTGAGTGAATTAGTTAAAATTCTACAGAATCCTTCACCTCCCCCATTTAAGTATAGATCCCATCCCCATGGTTTTAGTTCAAATTGGAAAGACATTTTCAACTCTCTTTCTGTCATAAAAATGAAGAAAGAACCAAGAACGTCTTGCCTATGAAGAACAAACAGCATTTTAATGACCAAAGAACTAAGCATTACAATGAGAAACATGCTTATATTTATCACATTTAAACTTACCATTAAAAAAAAAAAACAAACGTTGGAGGGGTGTTACTGTGAAAAGCATAATACTGTCACACTCATTAACAGAAAGGAACGTACACTTTTAGGGGAACTTGCGTTTGAAATGATAATGCTTACTGCAGAGAATGATATTTAATTAACAGTGAACCATATTTCAAGTGCTGGTACATCTGCCTGATCTATCGCCAACTCTACAAATAGGATATGGCAAAAAATGAACTGTTGTCCCCATGATAAACACTTTTTCTTCCTGGAGAGGGGAAAAAAAAAAAGACCCTACAATCAGATTTGTATGTCTCCATAATTCAGCTTGATTGCATTTATCTTTACCCTCTCTTATTAAACTGAACTTTTTTTTTGCATTCATGTCTAAAAATATCACACACTGAAGGGGGAAATTAAAAAAAAACCCAAAAACCAACAACAAAAAAAGCCAAACAAAAGCAACAACAGAAAATAACAGAAAAAAAGAAAAGTCCTTGGTGGGGTCTGCTAAGACTTAACCACTCAAGAGAATTACTGACTTTTAGTCCAATTTCACCCCCACCCCTACACACAAACATTGCTAGTAAAGATGTTTCATTAGAACTCCCTCTGCTTTCTATGAGACAGGTTAACTGACCTATCGTCACTAAAATATTACAATCAATAGACTGGCAAAAGGAATATAAACATCTCCCCGTAAGATTAAATTCAGAAACAACTGGTTTAGGCTCTACCACAGGAAATACAACTGAAGAGGAGAGATCGGAGGAACCTAGGCTGAAGAGTAAGGTAGCCAGGGCAGGCCTAGACAGAGCTCATCTTGAATCTGCTGAAACAGCAGAAGCTTTACAATTGTAAGAGGCTCAGAAACAGAGATTTGACCCACATTGCACATCGTACAAATGACTATCCTAGTATGAAAAAGCAAAGGCTCTGTGTGGCGTTTTGCTTTAATACAGTGATATAAAAGGCAGTAAGGTCTTTTGAATAATCACATATGAATTATTAATCTCAATACATTTCCACCTCATTAAACTACCTAATAATGCAACTGCCAGCAAGGGTGCCTGTGCTCATCATTATCCTTATTATACATCGAAGAATAGTAACTTTGACTATGTCTAGATTGTAAGGTTTCTAGAGTTCTCTGTAATATACTTACCGGTTATAGGGACTTAAGCCCAATGAAGCAGTAAAAACACAAAAGATAAAAATATGAATCAATATGAAAAATTTCCAAGCCTTTCAGAATCTTCAGGTAGATATAGATACAAAGCAATGTTTGAAATAATTCTAAAAATTGCTGTATAAATGCAAAGTGAATGGATGAAAGACAATCCTCAATGTCACGCTTCTAAGAAGGATGGGAAAATGGAACATATTCATCTGGTGTCTAACGGGACCAATAGGAGCTTTCACAGAAAGCCAGCAATTTTTAAACCAACCACACACGTGCAGTTTCAAAGTGAAGAAAATGTGTGATGACAATGTGTTACTACGTCACTCATATGCTGGCTCTACCACTCCGTAAACATGAGCACTCCTTTTCATTTGAAGTATCGTAAGAATTGTTTGGCCTTCATAGCTTGTAAAGCCCACATGCACTGTCTCCTTTTCTCTTTACATACAGCTCTGTGGAGGGAAAGCACGGCAGGAGGTGCTACACTTCTCAGCAGTGGAAGACTGAACCTGCACGGTAGTTTTCTGAACTCATTGTAAGTCTATACATTCTATACACACTGAGATTGGAACCAAACTTTACATGACTGTGGGAAAATTACCATGATGGATTTTAACATGTAGCCAAACCAGTCTCCTACAGAGTGTTTATTATTTTAATTAATGTGAAATCTACTTATTAATGAGATACTGACATCACTCTACAGTTCTCAAGAGAAGATGGCCTATATGGCGGCATTTGATACCTCTCCTGTGATCACCATGCATGGCTCTTCCCTATATAATCAGGTCAACTGTCCTAAAAAATGTCTTAGCCAGGGCAGTTAGAGTTAGATTCTATTGAAACATTTATTATTTTTGCAGGCTCTACAATTATAATTCAAATGCATTGTTTTAGTGCAGTAGAGTATACATTACTTTAATGGATTAGATGCAAAATTCCCAGATATTTTGTAATGCATTTTTAAACTGAATAACTACATAGCAAAGAGATGCCTAAACCAAGCTTCCTTGTTCATAAGAAATAGTAAGCATAAATACCAAATACAACATTGGGTAATATTAAAGGCATGTTTGTTGATAATCTGGATTTGGGGGTAAGTAGGATCACCAGAGTGTTACTGATGAAGAACCCGTGGACGTACGATGGATGCTGGCCAAAATGATTGGTGGAAAATTTGTCAGAAAATACGAAGCAACTTTAAACGAAACTCATTGTGTTCTGAAATATATGCTTAAAAATTAATGCAGTTTTACAACAGAAAAGGCCAGAATCATCACAAGTAATAGCTGTTTTTCTTAGAGATGACCCAAGTAAACTCAGTTTTAAGTTCTTGCAAAAATTATACTATGTATCATAATGTGATGTTATGTAACGTGATGTCATGTCATGTCTATCCCAAACCCCTGGCATAAAGACTCTAGCAACCTCCCCTGCATTAGCAAACAGTTAAAAAGGCAAAATAAAAGGAAATGGACTGAGTCCTCCTGTTCGTCTACTAATGCACCTTTTGTTGCTGGAAAGTTAGAGGGGCTTAGAGAATCCCTTAGCTAAAGCTTATTTTCCCACATTAGCTAGTTGCTCAGACAGCCCTGGCCTTCGAGAATCTGGATTCGTTTCACATTAGCCACCCATTAGGGACAATTCTGCTTCAAGTCCAATACAAGTAGAAGCTGATGTGTTGTTCTAAAGCAGGTGCCTTCCATTTAAATCTACCGGACCTATCTATATTGAAACAAGGTTGCTGTCTGTTTAGACTATGGGACTCTATCTGAAATAGCAAGACACTTACCAAAAGCCAAATCATTACTATGTGGACAAGATACAACCTATGCAAGGAGTTGTGACGCATGCGAAACAATAAAATAAAATACAAACTGGTGGTAAGTATTTCAGGCCTCACCTAACACAGCCGTCGGCACAAGTGGATCATTGGGCACTGTAGGGAAAACAGAGCTTATGAAGGAATGCTTAGCTCTAAATTCTATTTTTCTTTATAATTATTATACCTTTATAATAATTTTTATAGTTGACTTGTATTTTTTTAAAAAATACAATGACACAACTTGCTTTGATTTCTGTACTTTGCAAAGCGAACACTCTCTTTCCTAGTAGGGTTACTTAAAACATCACAAGAGTTGTATCTATAATTTTAGTTCATGCGTCTGTTCAATCTAAAAAGCCAGATTATTCAGCTTGACTTTACAAATATGATAAAATTAGGGGAAAAGGAACCATGCATTTTAGATCTATCAAGCATAAGGTACTTACAGAAATATAGATCTTATATTCATTCTAATTCATTTTTCCCTAGCTAACTGTGGGGAATGGCTTTCTCTAAGTTCATAAGTGATATTTACAGTTACACTTTCATAGTTGTTGTCAGTCAGGTCCTGATATGGGCAATAAACAGAAAGGTCCATGGAACAGAAATACATCCAGACCAATTAAATACGGAATCAAGTACTTGAAGAGGTGATACACTCATATTTTAAGCAAACTTTCTTTCAACAGTCATAGAATTTAGACTTTTATGCCATTCTGTGTTGTTCAATCTTAATAGTGAAAAAAAATAGGCTAGATACTCCTTAAAATGATTAAAGCTGAATTCCAAAATAACTAGCAGTATGTCTAACTTCATTTAGAATGGATATACACCAGGAAAATGGAAGCCTGCATTCAAAGCCAACAATTACTGAAATTTTTCATCAAGCTAAAGGTTTCAAAAAAAATCCCCTTTGTAAAATGACATAGACTTATAACCTAAAATTTTTGTATAAACTTACCGTTACCTTTGTTTATAATTTGCATAGAAATATGAATTCTTTTATTTACCTCTTATCCTCTTAAATGCATGTATACCAAATTAGAATCAGACCTGTTACAAAAATTTCTTGTAAATGAAATGCTAATTACAAGCTTGATTTGTCCATCTCTAGCATCAATTTTACTGGAAGATTTGAAGAAATTAATTAGGTACATAAACTTAAATTTAAATAAACACAAAACTTTGAAAGAGAATAATTTTCATAGGCTATTCAACTTATGCAATTATTCAAACCCTCTGTGTTTAAGCAGAACTTCAATGGATACATTTTAAAAGCACTTTCTTCATAGGTCAACATTAGTAATTCTGGAAGAATCTATTTACAGGGTAGGGGGTGGGGGGTTGGAGGATAGGTAAAAGAATGCAAATGTTATCGCATTAATTTTTACAAGCCAGTCAATACAGCTCAACTTTTATATTTCATATTCTACACTTAGAAACTTAAAGATCAATCTTTCATGTAGTTACAACTTTTTCTTGTGTGTACGGTATATGAGTATATGCATGTCGTCATGTGTGAGCACATATGTGTGTGTGTGTGTGTAGGTCCAAAGAACTGATATTATATGGCTTCTTCAATTTCTCTTCTATTAATAATGCATTGAGATGAGTTCTCTTCGTAACCTGGAGCTCGCCAATCCCAGCAATTATTGATACTCAGCTTGCTCTGGGACCCCCTCCTGAACACCAACCAAGTGGTAGGATTCAGGTACCTGCACACCTACCTGGCCTTGATAAGGGTTCTGGTGTTGTGAGCTCCAGTTTTCAGGCCTGTCTGGTAAGTTCTTTGTCCATGAACTTACCTCCCCATCTCTGATTAACTTTTTGGTACTGGAGTTCTTTGAGATTAATACTAGATTTCTTTAATGGAATAATTACTTATGCCATTAATACCAAGAAAGAATTATTACATTCCTTACCTCAAATGAAAACCTATCTTTTACGTAGAAAGCATATAAATAACATACACAAATTTTATGTAGACAATGTCATTTTAACATATTCAATGACACATGCTGTCTGAATGGCTCTATGTTCTGAATGTTTCTTATGGTTTCATAGCAAAATCTCTAGTTTGAAGTTAAACTAAGCCCTATACTAAAACTGAACACATGTCTTTATGTAAATTCTGTAATGACATCAATTGTGTTTTACTCTCCCTAACTGCTTCTTCTCTAACTTTGTCTTTGATTATTCAAAAGTTATTGTGTAAAATTAAATACACTTAATAAGCTTCAAAAGCATTAACTAAAATTTTAATGAATAACTTACATCTTGGACTGAAGTTATGTTGGTCCATGAAGGTGAGGGAAAGGGGGTCTTCTGCATGCAGGGTACTCTGATCAGCATAACTCCGGTCCATAGCATTCACCATGTGGGTCATCTCTTGACGTGTGTTCCCCATTGCATCCTTGCGCTTCTTAGCAAGCTTGCTGCCAAAGCAAATACAAAGGGGAGGCCTGAGTGTGAGCCCTGACGGACAGCTGACACCACCAATATAGCAGCTCAAGTGAGCCCGAGGACAAAGTTACAGACACAGATTAGAAAACCTAAGAATTGTTCCTAATTTCAGGAGTTAAGATAACACGCAAACCATTACGTTGGCTCGTTGTTGTAGCATGACCTTATGTGTGAGCTTCTCAATATTCACATTGTCAAACCAAGAGTCTCACCATTTCTTCTATTTAGGTCTGGGTTCAGCGGGAAAGAGAGCAGGATGAAATGAGAATACTGGGTGATGGATATGATCATAGTACATTATGTATATATGAGTCTATCAAAAAATAAAAAATAAATCATTTCCATAAAAAACGTTTCAACAAGAGTATAAACATACACTTCTAAAGAAAAGTTAATTCCAGATGACTTATTTAAAACTTTAAAAATTTAAGTTCCAGGCTTCCTCTTGAATGAGACTGCCTTTGATCAACGTTTAGATGGTCTTACTAACAACATGACTGAACTTTGCTTTATCAGAGCTGCCAACTAAAACAAGGAAAAGGGCCATTCTCTCCTCTGCTGTTCCTCAGTAAAATCCCCAAACACACAGAGCACAGACACATGGAGCAGGGTATTCACAGTATTAATCAAAACTAATCCAAAGTCCTTTAAAATCAACCCTGGCCAGATGTGTCTCAAACACTCACAAAGAGATGGAACTGAACCATATGCTGTGTAAGAAAAATACTGAGAAAATTGGAAAATGCTACATAGAAGTGTAATGTCAATTATCGTCTTGGAGGACTGACATGGTCAAACCCTAATATGTATTTTAGACTTCTCATGCATACTAGACACTACAGAAATGTCTGTAGCAGCAGCAGAATTATTTAAGGTTATAGAAGCTAGAGTTACCATTTCAAATGATACAATTATTGACTCCTTTGTCTCCCACATCAAAACAAAGCAAAACAAAACCCCCAACAACCCACAGTTTTTGTTTCTCTGTGTTGTTCATGAACATGTAAAATCTACTAAAGCTATGTAAAGTAGTTAACTCACACTCACCAGGCAACTTCTTTACAGAGACACTGTAAACCACTGTCCAGTATAAACTGTAATATTCACTTTATGGTAGCAGTCAATGCTGCCTTGGAAATATTCCCTAGTTGTTAAGAATGCCATTTCTTACTCAGTGGTAAGACATTCTCTTCTGGTCCCCATTACTGTCTATACTAAGCATACCACAAATACTACAAAGGTTCATTGAATAGATGGAGTTTATATCCACAAGTTTTTCCTTTTAAAGTACTTTACACAGTCCAAGAGTTGTTCTAGATTATTTTCCTCTGAGAACTGTCGTAGTTGACAACAGGGGCACACAACCAAAATATAGGACACAAAAACTAAATTTCCATCCCAACTGAATAAAGCAGGCATAAACCATGCTTTGGTGATGGATACTTATTATTCAGATAGAAGGAATAGCAGGTATTAGTAATATTAAAAACAAGGACAAAAGAATATTACTATCCACCATCACCGGCACCACCAGAACTATCACTAGATGGTCACTACAATTAACACCATCACTCATTAACAACATTTGCTTCACACATTGAAAGTACTACCAACTTTTCATTCCAGGTCAAGAGAAAAGTCTGTAGAAATATAAAGATCTCGACAGAGACATGAGACATCATGCAGAGAGGCAAGAACAGTTTGAGAAAATGAGGAGCAGTTTGAGGGCAACTTGTTCTAAGAACTCCTGGCACTTGATACAAATGTTGAAAATGATTTGAATTTTGGAAATAACAGCAATGTTTCAGAATGGGTATATTAGTTTTCATTATGATTTTTAGGTGTTTTTATTATATTAAATGTGTGTGTGTGTGTGTGTGTGTACATGAGCATACATATGAGCACAGGTTCCTGTGAAAGCCAGAGGTATCTGATGCCCATAGAGCTGGAGTTATGGGCACAGTTGTAAGCTGCCTGACATCGTGTTGTGAACTAAACTGAAGTCCTCTGCAAGAGTAAAATGTGTTCTTTAACTGCTGGGCCATCTCTCCGGCTCCTGGTTTAATTTTCTAAAACCTTAGCAACTTATTTACTTGATATTGGGAGCAATGATACCCCTTTTATAATTAAATGGACATAAGAAAAATAGTAATGTTAGTAACTGTTCAATAATTTCATCTTCTAAAGACAATATTTGACCATAAACACCACCAGATCACATGTAGACAACAGATACTCACATTCCAAACTTCCTGCAAGCTCCCCATCACAAAAGATTTTTTCCCCTTAAGCCTGCAATATGCTTTAGTCTCTAATACTTGACTAGTGTCTATTCACTGTGACTCCAAACAAACCTCCTTGGGAAAGCTTACTATGGCTGATCCAAGCACAATGTAATTCAGGTGATTTCTGTAGTAACAATGCAGGCACTCAAAAAATACTTGTTGAAGAAATAAATTGTGCCTGCTATATATGTGGCCCTTTCCATTGGTTAACTCAATTAATTCTCAGATCAATCCACTGGAAACTGCTTAAGGATTCTCATCTTATAGATGAGTTCATCGAAGCTTAGGGGAGTTAAATAACTTGCCCAAGGTTGCTTATTTAATAAGCAATGAAGAATGATCTCATTCCATAGCTACAGCTATTACATAATACCCAGTTGTTTACACTGTGTTTATTGCCACATTAGGAAGTCTACTACAATGTTTAAACACTGTTTGCTAAGTATTAGAAAAGAACACAAATACAGCATAGATATGCGGTCAATTATACATCTTGAAGCAGCAGAGAAATGCTTGACAAATAAGTTCTAGCCCCATGTAGTGGTACTCAATTCTAATTCCAGGCCTCAGAAGTAGCCTCAGCTTAGTCAGAAACATTCAAGGCCTTCCTGAACTGGGATTCATAGCAAGACGTTGTCTCAAAAACAAACTAATAAAACTTGCAATCTTTCTCCAAATCTTTGTTTCTTAGGCAAGGTTGGTTTATTCCTTTAAAAGTGTGAGAAATTGATTTGAATGAAACAGTATAATTTTAAATATGGCTTCAAAATAATGTTAAAAATTTTAAAATGGGCAAATGCAGCCAATGGAAATGACAACTTTAAATTTAGAGTATTTATGAATGAATATATGTTTTTCATGAATGGGTAAAGTTTTAAAAAACGATTTTTCAAGAACTAAAACAAAAATATTCAAGCAAGGACTTTTCAGATTCATCAACTTAGATAATAAGCAAACTATGTTGGAATATAACCTTTGTGAGTAGCTGCAAAGTCAGGCAGGCACACCCAGATGGTCCCTTACACCTCCATCCTCACCACAACCCTGTGAGATAGGCTTTCACTGAGGGTACTGTGAAACACAATGAGTTAACACCAGTGCTAAATAAGTGTTTTCATTTTTTAAAAAGTTACTATAACAGAATACTAATGAAAATAAGATCAAATACGTTTTTTTTTCCATTTGAGTTCCATTCTATTCCTACCTCTATAAAAGAAACCAATTGTGATTAGTATCCCTAGGAGTGTTTAAGTAGCTTTTGAAAGTGTATATCTCTGTCACATTTTTATCTAGTTAGGATTTAAAGTACCAGTAGCTCTATGTGTCAATCACAGCAACAGTATAATCTGCTATGATGTCAAGAAGAGCTATGTTAACTGTGCACCAAAAAAAAAAAGAAAAAAAAGAAAGAAAAAGAAAAAAAAAAAGGAATCCCATTCTCATACAGATACATTAACAGTTAGTGGTAGGCTTATTGACTAAATACATTTTGATTCTAGTGTGCCCCACGCTTTGTCTTCCCCTGAGCAATGAGCACACATAATGCACACTTCAGGACAGTTAGGCAATTCATTTTTCAAGCACTTGAGTTTGACAGATGTGCAAATGACTTTCATTATCAAAGCAGCCAACAGCATAAACTTCTGCAGGTGGATGTATGGGTGGGCCATAAAGGGGAAAAGTACTCCATCATTGTACGAAATGGTACAGTTAATTACCATTGGCTTCATCAAACATGATTTAACAAGTGTAATATGATTCATCACAATAAGCTAAGAGCACTGTTATTTTACACCTGCTTGTTTTAGCAGATTGTACGAAGCCAAATGTTTGTAATATTTAAAACGTTGGCAGCGCCGTGTTGAAGTGATTGACTCATAAAATTTTGTTGTAAAGCTGGCTGAATAGTGATATAGACACAGCAGGCTGTATGCCTCACACACTGTTAATTTCAGTCCTTGACCCTTGCACAGTCCTATTACCTTGGACTGAATGGGTGACAATCTTGGAATCTAATGAAGTCAATTGAAGATGACTTAGGAAATTGAATGGCCAGTGTTCTCCATGCTGATCTAAATGACTGCCCATACCTTAGTCATGGGTGGATTTGAAACTGCAGAGTGACGACATCGTGATTCCTTAGTTGGTTCACACGTTTTGTTTCTGACTTGTTTCATAAAGTCTCTATTTAAACTGTAGTAAACAAATTCATTTTCCCCATTCTACAAAAGGCTTTTAATGTTTCTGCCCTACTACATTACCCTTTCATCAATTTATTTTGATAAGACCATATTAGCGGTTTTATTGGCTAGCAAGGAGAGTTCTAAGTTATGACCCTTTTGAATAACTGGGAAAATGTGTAAAGTGATGTTATACACGTGCAGGCCTGATCTGGTTTGCATCCTTCAAGGGCAGTCTGGATGCTGCACAAATATCTCACTGAGGTCATTTTTGTCAAATGTAATACAGTATCTATACATATTCTAGAGGAGGAAGTTCAAACCACATTTATTACTAGATGTACAAATATACTGCTAAGACGGTACAGACTTGACATAGGCAAATAAGTGATGTTCTTAGCTGTAGGATAAAGCTACTCATGGAAAAATTGCAATTAAAAATTAAAAGTAGCTGAACATACAGAAACACAATATCCCTTTTAAAAAAGATTATCAAAAGAGATAATACTCTCTAGTTTTAGCATCCAGGAAAATATAATTTTTTTAAAGACCACCAAACAGACAACATTGTTTCTGTGGGCTTTTTGAAAAGGGATATTGCATTTGGACACATGTAAAGTTGTAATGACCCATTTTCTACTTACAGGTAGTAGGAGTAAGAATAGTAGCTCCTCCTGGGAAGCAGATCACAGACAGTGGGAAAGAGAAGCAATGGTGAATGAGAAGCATGACTCCATCACATCCAAGAGAGCAGAAAAATGTGCGTTAAAAAGAAAACGAAACAAAATGAAATCTGGCTTCTTAGGCTCTGCATTGTACGTTGCCCATGCGTTGTTAGCGTTCTTTTGCCATGCAATTAAACAGACAAATATGCAGCAAAAAATAAAATTTGTAATACGGAATTAGGAAAAAATAAAAAAAAACAAACCAGTAACATGCTGACATTTCTTATATTGCCAGAGAACTGAAAAGTTAAATGGATTGTGTGTTTTTCAACATGCAGTTAAAGCGTTCTGTCACCCATTGCCTTCTAAATGTCATGACAGATGGAACAGCTGTGTATAGAATGTGCATACTAAATATAGCAGTTTATTTTAAATACAAAACATAAAATTATGATATTAATGTGTGCCAAGTAACACCTTTATGTTTTACACATTGGGTGTATCTTAACGGTACACGATATATACACGTTATGTGAATACAGATACTCTATGCTACATATACATGAAGGTATTTCCACAGTAGATGCATGTGACCGTGGTATACACAAACATTTACTGTATTGAAACATGATTTCAAGTTGAGGTTGGAAGTTGAAATGTATTCATGCTATGCATTTAAAACATAAACAACTAGTGAAAAAATAGAATATATTTGGAAATAATTCAACAGCGATTAAACTGAAAAAAAATGACATTGTGTTCTGAAAAGTGCAATATTCCTTTCATAGCCCAAGAACTTACTTTCTATATAATCTCAGCTGTAAAGTTGTATTTGGTTGAATTCTAAGCTATTCTTTTGCAACCCAAAGACACGGAACTATTTTCTTTTTCTTTTTTATTGGATGTTTTATTTACATTTCCTATGTGAATGGAACTATTTCCAATGAGGTAAGTATCCCAACATAGATTATTCCCAATGAGAGATAGTCTAAAAAAAACTTTACACTTTCTTGTGAAAATGCAGATCGTGAGAAGGTAAAGGTTTCCGTTTCCATTACTGTTATGAATTTCTATAGTCATAGGAAACTACAGAATAACAAAGAACCTTAAGCTAAACTCTGTCACACCCTGGACTTCTATGTACTTTGATGGAAGTATAATAAATTACTCTTGATTAACTCACACAGGGTGTGTGTGTTTGTGTGTGCATGCGCACGCTCATGCACAAGTGACACACCACCTGAGGGTAGAAGCCTTTACAAAAGTAGTCCAGGCATGATTTACTCCAGAAGGTGGCAGACACCTCATCTAGTCTAAAAGATAATGCTCTTCCCCAGTCATGTAGGTGCTGCTGAGGGAGCTGAAAGCTCAGGAGATTTTCTATCCTGTAACACTTAAATGTGAAACACTGAACGGAGGATTGTTGATCTGATCATCGACAATGTAAACCAGAAGGAGAATCAGTGAAGGTGTGCGATTTTAGAGAGCTGCTGGAGACTGTTACCTCCCTCCCCATCCTTGCTTAAGTAACTGGCTTTGCAACTTGAAGGACCTTAGTGTTCACTTGGCATTCCTAGTACAAATCCATCAAAAAAGGAGTAAGTCTTCATATAAAGAACAACTACAACTAGGTTTAATTTCACTCTGAGGAGGACACAGTCAGAAGTCATTCTCATGCATCCAATCGGAAGTGACACTCCTCTTAAGGACGAAGCAGTGCTAAATTTGCTCTCTAAGCTATTTGGCTTTTCACCCTCCAAATACAAATCTAGATTAAACAGAGATGTAAGGTCTGAAGGTTCTATACCTTGATTTTGTGGATCTTTATTGGAAACCTACTGTTTCTAAAACACTTAAATCTTGGCTCGCCTAGGATGTGTTGTGTTACCAATCCTAGAGGTAGTAGACAACAGCAAAGAGAAAGCACTGTTTGGGAAAAGCACATATGTAGCTAATTGAACACAAAACACTATGGTGCATACCTAATGTTTCTAATGCAGATGTGTCTTCTCCAACATATATATCTCCAGGGACAATTGTAAAGAGGCAATATATTAAAAATAGATGCTCATGGCACTGTGATTAACATATGAGTCTTATCCATAATGCTAATGTTTTATTTTTAAGTAGAAAGCAAGAAAAATTAGACACTATGAAGTTCACATAACATAAGCAACATTATTATACAATCAGAACTATTATAAAATCGGAATCACCTGTACACATAAAGCTCTCAGAATGCACTCTACATGTAAAAATTGTTTTCTTTTTTTCTAAAGTGCTGCCAAATTATAGCATTATCTAAAATTCATGATTGGAATAATTGAAGTGCCACACTAGTTTCGAAGACAATGACTTACAGATTCTGACAACTTATAAAATGATCAAGTAGCTCAAAGTCTAAAAATGTGTATATCTAAAATGCTTCTGAGCAAGGGTATACTTTTATCCTCAGAATACAAAAATTAAATTCCAAGAAGTCATAATATCTTCATAGAAGAACATCAGGAGATGGTGACATTGGCTGATATAGTATAAAAGAAAGGTTCAATTTAACCATTTAACTCTTCTTTTTTTTTTTAAAAAAAAAGTTAGTCAGTGAGTATGTAATATATAATGTCATTAAACAATATTTTTAATTGAAGCAATAAATGCATGTCTCATATGCAACCTATGTTTTAAAAAATTAATTAAAAATAGAAATAATTCTCACTTTGGTCCAAGTACCGTAACTGAATGCCATCAATTTTATTATGCTTAATAATAGTAACACTTAAAATAAGATGAATTTCCCATGTATCTCTGAAATTCAAGAAATTTACAGTTTTACATTAGACAAATGTTTACCAAAGTCTATGCTTACATCCTTGAACAAACTACAAATAGCTAAATCAGACTTTACTTAAAAATCCCAAATAAGAAGCTGAGCTGCAGGCACTCTTATCAAAACTTGTTAAAGAGCTTGCAGGGAAAACATGAAAATCAGTGGCACAGGACAGTATCAGACCTTACCTCTTTTTCACAATTACTATGACAACCAGGAGGAGGAGGATGAACACTAAGATGCCAGCACTGATGCCTGCGATTTTCACCACTCTGTCTGTTTGCTTCGCTGGATCTGGGATCACTTCTGGTTCTTCTGTTGCTGCTGCTAAAGGAACCAGAGAAATAGGTGACTGGAAGCCTCTTCATGCACAGGAAGAATCAAAGCCAAAGAAGAACAAGTTTGGATAGCAATAACCTGAAAACGTACATGCAGAAATGATATAAAGCATGAGCGATTCAGGGCCAAGTTAAGGTAATTTTTTTTTTTTTTTTTTGGTTTTTTGAGAGAGGGTTTCTCTGTGTAGCCCTGGCTGTCCTGGAACTCACTCTGTAGACCAGGCTGGCCTCGAACTCAGAAAACCGCCTGCCTCTGCCTCCCAAGTGCTGGGATTAAAGGCGTGTGCCACCACTGCCCGGCAGGTAAAAATTTTTATGTTTAATTTTGTTTTGCTATTCTGTTTTAACATAAGGAATGAGGGAAACCACAGAAATTATTATTAAAGGGAATGGTAGGCTATTTTTCTTCAAAAGCCTTAAAAAAGTCAGAACAAGATCTTTAGAACTACTATATTGGGAAGAGATGGAGTCAAATATAAGCTTCCATTTTTCACTTCATTTTTAAAAAACACTTCTTAACTGGTGGCCATGTCGCTGCCTGTAATTCCAGGACTCAGGAGTCTGATAAGAGGGCTTAGGAGCTTCGGGCTAGTACGAATTAGTGTATAATCTACTATAGAAGTTAAAATAAACTGTTTAGCAGAAGGAAAAAAAAACATAAGGAAATACACCCAGGACTATTTCACATTTTCTCACTAGATGATAAACGTGGAAAATGACTGTAAGAAGATTATTTTTCTTGATTCTTTACAGTCCCTCACTTCTTTTTCTTTCTCAAAATCATGCTCAGCCCTCACACATGTCTACAATTAAAATAGAAAACTTTAATCAATCCGTAGGCCCTGGAAGCCTCGGAAGACATTTTCCTTTTACCTCCTTTACCTTGAAACTGGAAAGAAACTATTATTATCTGTACTTTACAGATACAAAGCCCCCAAGGCTTAGAGAATTAAGGATAGATTATGAATCGCTCAAGGGCAGACACAGAATCTAATACATCTTCCATCTCCTAACACAGCTCTCTCAGTTGCCAGGTTTGTAGCCCCCACTGCTTGAGAATATGCACCACAGAGGCCAGAGAGTTTTATGGATGAAGCATACTGGAAAACAGTTTTCAATCGCCCATCACAGTACCTTGTACTTAGAGTTTAGAGATCCTGGCTGAACAAACATGCTACAGCCAACATCTGCACAGAGCTGTATATCTCCAGGACAACATGTCTATTCTCTTTAGAAAGTTATCCATCTAAGGATTGCTGTTATCCATCAAAGGATTGCTGTTCTAATCCTTTCTTTTTAAAGTTCTTTCATTTGGCTTCTTTTGCTCCAGCACCCATGTTCTCTGTATCTTAATGCCTCCTTTAATTTTTTTTTTTTTTTGCACCAGAAAGTTGCTGGCATGAGGTCAACATAATTTTTCAAATTAAAATGATGATGATGGTGATGGTGGTGGTGGTGGTGGTGGTGGTGGTGGTGATGGAAGCATATCTCCCACTAATATTATTTCAATGTCTTTTTTTTTTACTTTAAATTTAAACAGAAAATGAGCTTTTGAAAAAGTACTAGTTACATTTGTTAAATAGTTCACCAAACTATTTTTGTTTGACTTGCACAGAATAAAATTTCCCAATGGCTTAATCACTGTTACTCAAAAGCAGAGACTATAAGTCAACAGCTTGCTGTTTTTCTAGTAAGTGTGGGAAGTTTGCTGGGCTGTGGTGTGGCCTTTCCCAGCATTACAACTATAGAGAACTTCCTTAATTAGGACTAAGCTAAGAGCGTACTACATGGCCAACTATCTAATTGTTTGCAATTTATCCAAACCTGCATTTCTTCCTCTTCTTGAGCAGTTTGATGAATGTATACATACTCATGGTATAAGCATAAATGCCTAAAACAGGTGGAATGTATTCCTAGGTTGAATGCAAAAATCTAAAACCAAAATGCTTATTGTTTGTAGTTATCAAACTTGATTGGTTTACATAGACACACTTTCACAAAGGAATTTTAAAAAGTGACTTAAAAGTCTCCTGAGAGAAATATTCATCTATGAGATAATTTCTATAGTTGGCTCACTAAAGTCTCTAATCTGTTGCTTTACTACACACACACACACACACACACACACACACACACACACACACACACA